ATATTCTTATAAAATGTATTTAAATTTTCAAACTATTTTTTCTCATTAATTTTAAATTTTAAGAAAAAAATTAGCAAGCACCCGTGTAATACACGGGTGTTGTACTAGTTAATAGTAAGAAAAATCAAAGGTAATTAATGCATTCTATTTATATCAAGTATTGTATTTAATTATTTTAGTTAATTTTTTTTATTTCATATCACATTTTCAACACAACTTACCATGATTTTCTATTGTGATTAAAAACCAAATTTTACGGTCAAATGTTGTGAAATTATTATTATTATTATTTTTTATAAAGCACATATTATTTGTTAAAAAATTGTATATATATGTATATAATATATACATCACAGTACTATGGTAAACGATTTAAATTTCAACCGACCAAAATGCCAATGATTTAAATTTGAACACACCTATGCGTTTGACCAAATGTCTGGATGATTTAAAATTGAGGCCATTAAAAATTATTTAAATTTAAACACAACAGAAATTTTATGTACTTTTTATTTATAAATATATTGAAAGTGGTATTTAATGGTTGTTATATAAACTATTTTAATATATTTGTAATGAATAAAAGTTTGAATGAAAAATTTGTAATGTTATTCATAATGTTTGTGACTTATGAGACACGAACATATAACTCCATACATATATGCCAGAGGGCGGCTTAATAATATTTTAGACTTAACGTTGATTAAAAAAGGTAGAAAATAGATAATAACATTAATACTTTTAGACTTAGACGGACAAAACTGTAAAAATAATTCATTTAATATTTTTGTCCCGTACGTACTAGTTAAATAAAAAAAAATTAAAAAATATACATATGCATCTGATGTCTGCATATGCTGTGAGGTGACAGCGTGTCGGTATTATCCATCTTTGATATCTAGCTGGCATCCACAAAGAAACGTAAGTAGACCATATTCACCATTCCAATGATTAATATTTGTATGCCTTTCCATTTTTTTTTTTAAATAAATATATATATATATATATGATAAATAATAATAATAATAATAAATAATTTAATTATTATATTTGAATCCATTCAACCAATGTCAAGGAATCGATAGATTCTAAAAGAAGGAGCAGAAAAAAGACGACATAGAGTTCGTATAAAGCAAAGGGAGTCAAAACTTGATGAGTAGTTCGTTAATTCGACTCATTTAATAACTGAATTGAGCTTAAACTAGTTTAGTTGATGAGTCTCGTCGATTTCGACTAATTAAAACTCTAAAATAAAGGACTTGTATAATTTTTTATTGCTCGACTCGTTAGTATTAATAAACGAGTCGAGCTCAAATTCATTTTGTTAACGAGTTGAGACAATATTAATAAATAGTTCGAATTGATAAAGATTCAAACCTAAATTATAGTATCGCTCACCTTGTTTAAACTTATACGGTTCTACTAACATATTATTATCATATCAATAGATTAAATATTATTATCATGTTTCTCACACAAGGACTACTTTTTATTTAAATCAGTCCATATATATATATATATATATATATTTGAATCAATAAAAGGACTCTTAAACAATTTTAACAACTTTTTATAGTTAATAACGTTCTTGGATTTTGTGAAACTTGAATGATGTTTGGTGGACATTATGGATTTTTCATATAATTATTATTAGAGACTTTTTAAACCTTTCATTAGGTATTTTAAAAATATATTGGGACTTTTATATACTTACACTATAATTATTATGTTTGAATAAAATGTTCATAAAAACTACATCATAACTAATGTCAATAAAATCAAGCTACTTTTTCAAAACAATTAAATTGATTTTCTATTTGTGCATTTTTAATTAAATCGATTTCAAAAAACTTTCCATTTCTAATTATGTTTTTTTTTCTTATAAAATACACAATCGTGTAGAACTTGCTTGAAAAATATTCTTTTTTTTTCACGAACAACTCGCTTAGAATCCTTTTTATTAAATGAGCTAAGTCGGTTTGAACTTTCGTGAGCTTCGGCGAGTTAAACTCGAGTTGAGCGTTATATTCAGTTGTAAAACAGCACAAGCACAAACATGAGCTACTCGTCTCGGATGGAATGACACTCATAATCAACTCAGGCATGATATATTTACGTGGTTATTGTTGAATTTTATATTTTGATTTTTTTTTTTTTTTGCATCCTTTTGTAATATTACAAAAATATTATAGAATATATTTTTACAGCACAATCATTGTTAAAAGACAATGATAATAGTGATATTCTTAGTTGGTGCAAATTATATAAATATTTGACATCTGAAAAGTCAAATCCCCCTATATATTAATACAGAATGCGCTGAGCTTACGTGCCTGCTTCTGGTGCTTCGAAATCCTATGTGGCAAAATTACATGCTTCGTTATTAGACTTGTGTAAATTTTAATTTAATTCCAAACCAAAAATAATTAGGTTCGGATTACCATAAATATGTTGATTATTTATGGTCATGTTACATGTATTAATTGTATTTTAATATCATTCCTTATTATAACTATTGAATTGTATATATATTTTAAAAGTTAATAACTTTTGAATTTTTTATCAGTTTTACATATGTAATATATCAAATTAATCTTCTTTTGATAAGCTTCGATTTAACATCCATATTGTATGTATAAAAGAATAATTTATAATACAGAATGCGCTGAGCCTACGTGGCTGCTTCTGGTGCTTCGGAATCCTATGTGGCAAAATTACATGCTTCGTTATTAGGCTTGTGTAAATTTTAATTTAATTCCAAACCAAATATAATTAGGTTCGGATTACCATAAATATGTTGATTATTTATGGTCATGTTACATGTATTAATTGTATTTTAATATCATTCCTTATTATAACTATTGAATTGTATATATATTTTAAAATTTAATAACTTTTGAATTTTTTATCATTTTTACATATGTAATATATCAAATTAATCTTCTTTTGATAAGTTTCGATTTAACATCCATATTGTATGTATAAGAAAAATAATTTATATTTATCTTTATAACAATAATAAAATTATTTTTAATATTAATTAGAAAAATAAAATTATTTATCAACTAATATATTTATATTTCAAGTAGTTATATGATATAAGTTATAAAAACCAATATAATATAACACATGTAAGTCATAAGTAACACATATCATTCTAAAATATATAGTAATATATTTTTTTTTTTTGTAAAAAAGTAAACTAAATTTAATATAATTTTCTCATTAATTTTAAAATTTAAGAATAATTTTTTAACAAGCACCCGTGTAATACACAGGTATTGTACTAGTTCACAATAAAGCAGATGAGAGATTAAAAGTAGGCACACATACAGTAATCATAATGAAAATAAATAAAACAATAAATCATGTTAAATGGTTGTGATGAACAAATAAATTGTATAATCTATCAATATAAATGAGTAAAATAAAAGAGTATGAAAATGATATGTGATACATAGTTGTGTAATTGAACCAACCTATAGAGAAAAGAGGTACCAATTTGATAAAATTTATACAAGAACTTTGTGTTTGCAATTTTGTTGAACAAATCTTTAAAAGTCTTTCAATTTAAAAATTATCGTAAAGACTTCTTAGTTTACTTTGGATACTAGGTGGTTCGTAGAGACTCTTAAAAATTTCAAATGAATTAATATTCTAAGAATTTTCGAGATTTATAAATAGATTTTAAAAGTATCAATTAAATAAATTAAAGTCTCATCAAGGCTTCTTACTTTACTTTGAATCCAAATTGTTTACATACTCATGGAATGTGTCAATTAGTCCCGCTCACCTGTCCACGGTGGGCAGTGCCCACCATATTTTTTTACATGAAAAATGTATTTTGAGAATACGTTTTTCAATTAATTTAATTGAAAAACGTATTTTCAGAATACGTTTTTCATGTAAAAAAAGGTGGTGGGCACTGCCCACCGTGGGCAGGTGAGCAAAACCAATGTGTCAATTGAATTCATACATAAGGCTTTTAAAAATATGTATATATATATATATAAAATCTTAATGGAATACAAATAGACTTTTCTAGTACACTAACATTCTAAAAAACATATATTGTTTTTAAGTAATTGAATCCACTATATATTAATTCAAATCGTGTTGAGACTAAGTGACAACCTTGTATATTTTAGGATCTTATATGGCAAATTACATGATTAGTTATTAGAGTTGGGTAGATTTTAATTTTCTTTCAATCAAAAAATAATTAGGTCTCGACCATCCATAAACATATGTGTATTATTTATGGTCATGTTGCATTTATTAATTGCATTTCAATATAATTTATTCTTACAATCATTGAATTGGGTATGGATTCTCCATAAATATATGTTCATTATTTATGATCGTATTGCATGTATTAATTATATTTTAATATCAATTCTTATTATAATTATTGAATTGTAAATATATTTTAAAAATTAATAATTTTTGTATTTTTCATCAGTTTGTATATAAAGTATATCAAATTAATAATCTCTTGATAAGTTTCGATTTAATATTCATATCATATGTATAAAAAAAATAAAATATATTTATCTTTATAACAATTATAAAATTATTTTTTATTATTATTTAGAAAATAAAATTATTAATCAATTAACTTATTTTTAATATAAGTTATAAAAATTTACTATAATATAACACATGTAAGTCGCACAAGTAACAAGTGTCATTCTAAAATATATAATAATATATATTTATTGTAAAAAAAAGTAAATAAAATTTTAAATAAATTTTCTCATTTAAAATTTAAGAATAATTTTTTTACAAACACACGTGTAATACACGTGGGTCTTGCACTAGTAACTTATTATTTAATGAGAAATGCTATAATCCCGTTACGGTACCATCCCGTCAGGTTAACCGTTGGAATCATCTATCTTATACTAACTACATGTGTATTCAACGGTTAAAACACCTGACGGGATAGTACCTAACGGGACCGTGACATTTTCCTTATTTAATAATATGGCGTTAATCACCTCCTCAACATGAGGGCCCTCTTCCTCTTCATCCAGCACGAAGAACCTTTTCAAAACAAACACCAAGAAAATGTGTGGAATTTGAATATACATTGACACCCAAAAGGAGATCGAGACCGTGGAGGCACACCCAAATAGGAAATGTGCTAAATCGTCTCCACGCAAATAAACAAATAAATAATTTATTCTTGAGCACCTAAGCCAGATTGAAGAGCTTCTGAGGCCATGGCTGAGGGTGGCTTGTTCTCGACTTATTCATTCTTCAGCGACGCTGCTGGTGTTGCAGGTGATTTCTTAAATTCGTTTTTTTGTTGCCCATTTTTTGTTTTCTTTGTTGTATTGATTTTGTTTTTTCTTGGTGGGTTTTGGTTGTTTGAGTTTCTGATCTGTGTGCAAATTTGGGGTTCCTTGGCTCTAAAAGTCTCTGTCAATGGTGGAAAGTTTTCATTTTTTGTGTTTCTTTACATTTTTCATCTTGTTGTTAATTGTAATAGGATGAATTGATTTGATGTGCTGATTGGTTCTTGTTTAGGACGAGAAATCGGGGTTAGTAACCGTTAGATCGTCATGTAATCCGTCAGGAATAGTTGATTTAACGGTTACTAACCCCAACGGAATGATTCCGTAATGGAACCGTAGCATTTCCCCTAAAGAGTGGTATAATGAAAAAATGGTGAAAAATTGAATTGGTAAACTGATAACCCATTTACAAGCATAATGCCTTTACAAAAGAGTGGTATTTTCATTGGCTAAAAGTAAAGAAAGATGGGATCTTTTTATTTTTTTCATATTTATTTCACTTTTTTTGGAGCTGCTGGGTTAATGTTCTTAATTTGCAGAAAGGATAAAGACTCGATCTTTTTTCTTGTTCAAAGTCAATAAGTAGTTTCTTTTATTGTCATGACTCATAGAGACCCTCTTTAGACTTCTTTTATCCCCTTAAAACTTGAATTTAGTCATTTTTCAAGACTTTCTTTTCTGTTCATGGTTGGAAAAATGTCGAATGAATTCTTCTGTTTTTTTTTTTTTTGCAGGAAATCTTCTTGCTTTCGTGTTGTTTGTGTCACCCATGTAAGGGCCTCACAATTCAATATATCCCATAAATGTCTTTTTGGCTTCTGATTCTAATGCTTTTGACTTTTGAGTAATGTTTTTTTTCTAATTTTTTCCCTCGTTCAGACCGACTTTTAGGAGAATTATCAGAAGCCGATCCACAGAAGAGTTTTCTGGGCTGCCTTATATTTATGCTCTCTTGAACTGCTTGATATGCCTTTGGTACGGCATGCCCATTGTCTCGTCCGGCATAATCCTAATCGCCACTGTCAACTCGGTTGGAGCCATTTTCCAGTTGATTTACATCATCATATTCATCATATATGCTAATCGAAAAAGAAAGGTAATTTCAAGAATTTCGAGTTAATTACCAAAAGCACCCCAGAGTATTGTATCTTTCAAATTCACAAATCCCCCTTGATGTAAGATTATATTTTTAAGTAGATATGTAACCTCATGTGGTTTTTTTTTTTTTTGAAAATAATGAGGAGTCTTTATAATTTGCCATGGAACTTATATTGTAACTTTATGAGTGCTTTTAACTTCAAAATTCCTCTTTTTTTTTTTCCTCTTTTCCTGCAGATGAAGATGTTGGGATTACTGTTAGCAGTGTTCTCTGTGTTTGCTATAATCGCGTTCGTTAGCATCAGATTTTTCGAGCCTCCTAGTCGGCAACTTTTTGTTGGATACCTATCTGTGTTCTCACTCATATCCATGTTTGCTTCACCATTGTTCATTATCGTGAGTTGACTCGTACAATAAAACACCACGTCTCGTGATTTTATTCATTTTTTTTCTTCTTTAACGTTTCTAAATTTATGCTATGAATGCAACTGGTGCAGAATTTGGTGATCAGAACAAAAAGCGTCGAGTACATGCCGTTTTATCTTTCGTTAGCCACATTCTTGATGAGCGTTTCATTCTTTGTGTATGGTCTTTTCAAGCAAGACCCATTTATCTCCGTAAGTTTACGATATTACCCTTGATCGACTTTCCATTGATCGTCCCATTCTTTTTCTCATCTCATTGTCGATGTAAATTCAGGTTCCTAATGGGATAGGAGCAATACTCGGGATTATTCAGTTGGTATTGTACTTATGTTACAGTGGAGGTTCGATCGAAGTGTCGAGAAGGCCTTTGCTCGGGTCGCATGCCTAAGCACTCGATTCACGACGAGTAAATCCCTAAGGCTGTCTTAATTCTTATTTGTTTTATTTTGTTGTATTTTATTTTATTTTATTTTTTCTCTCTCTCTCTACAAGTGTTATTGTGCAGTAATGTTCTTGTTTTTGTCAAAGGGATTGAAACACCTAAATTGTGCAATGTCAATGTTAAATGGTTTCCTCTTGTTTCCATTTTTATTTTATTTTTTCTTCTTTTTCTTATGTTTTATGGTGAAATATTTGCCAATGGAATTTTGAGATATATATGGGTTTTGGGACGGGCTTGGTCAAACAAGACCCAAGAGTCAGAAAATCCAAACTTGTATCCAAGTGGGTCAAAACATGGTTTGGCCCTTCAAAGATAGAAGACGGGAAATTATACCTAGAGAAATTTGCACCTCATACTACGAAATATAATTTATATTACATGTTTACACCTAATTAATATCTATTTGCAAAAGTATATAATTACCCCAACATATTTACAAATATACCAAATTTTATAAGTTTATTAATTATGACTTAAATATGAGAAGTGAATCAGTTATATATTAATTGGGAGAATTAATCCCCTACCCAAAAATTCCTATTCTACTCCAAGCAATTACCCTCCTCCGTCGTCAATCCCCTGCAACTAGGCCACTGTTGGAAAAACTGTCGGAAAATTTCGACTCATGAGTGGCAGGTCTTCGACACTTCGTTTGTTGGGATTGATCGAAGTCCCCGCCTTCGACACTTTCAATTAGGGTTGGGATTGATCGAAGCTTTGTAAATCCACTCCATTTGCCCTAAATCCCAATTTACGCCGGTTTCAAATATTAAATCAAAATCCAAAAATCCATAAACTCTAACTGTTCTCGCTCTTCGTGTCCGATCAAATTCGAACGAAAAGAGAACATCCTCTACAAATTCGAACGAGGGATGGGACTTGTTCGAATTTTATCTCGTGCGTAGACCTTTGATTGGCTGCTGGTGAAAAATGAACAGAGGTGCGGGATGATAAGGTTGCGATGGAAACTTTTTTTTTTTTTCTACTGCTTGATTCATTTCATCTGGATTTGGTGTTTTGTGTGTGTGAATTTTTTTCTACCTTTGTATGTTTTATATTCGGTATATTTTTTATCCCCCTCATATTGTCTCGTGTTTGTCTCGTTCCCCCTGTTATATGCATCGTTTATATTCAGTATATTTTTTGTATATGTATGGTTTATATTTAGTAAAATCATCGAAAATATATACAAAACATATATCATCATTACGGTTTGCGTACAATCATCGAAAATATATACAAAACGTATGGGGAATATATGTTCAGTATATTAGATTTTTTTTTTTTTTTTTTTTTTTTTTT